TAGTATATAAGTATACTCTCTCTTATATATGTATAAGTATACAGTGTATACTCTCTTATATAAGTATATATATATAAGTATATTCTCTCTTATATATGTATATATCTCTTATATAATTATATATATATGTATAAGTATGCTCTCTCTTATATAAGTATATATAAGTATACTCTCTCTTATATATGCATAATATATGTGTATATATATATTTATACTCTTATATAAATATACTTATATATGTGTGTGTATATATTGCGTGGGACTTGGTATACATTCCAAACTAATTTTCTATTTATTTAAAACTACTCTTTTTAGTTTGATGATGTACTCATTTTTATTTAATATTTGAATAATGGTGGCAAGTCAGGAAATCTACCTGATGTGGCAAAAATGTTCCATGAAACCTGAAAAAACCTAATGAAACACTAGATACTGAGGATCAAGATAAATATGTAAGTAGAATATATCTTTAAGTTTAATAATGATGCATTATATAGTTAACATATGAATTTAATTTTGTAGGATGAAATTGTCCAAGTCAAACAAGCAAACCCTTCACTTTCAGACATAGAGATAGTTGAGAAAATCTGGGGAAAGCAATCTCATGATCACATCACTGTATTTGATGGTGGGACTATTTTAAAAGATTTGAGAGAACCGCTCCCTAGTCGATCTGATCTGAAAGCACGGGTTATAGAAGAAAAGATAAAGAACCAGATGCTTCAACAACGCTTAGATGAGCAGGAGCAACAATAACATCAACAACAATAAAAGATGTCTAACTTAGAGTCATAAGTGAAAGCTATGCGAGAACTTTTTATGGCAACCATCTTCATTAACTCCTCAAACTCGAGAACATGTACAAGACTAGGTAATTATTTTTTGTAAAATATCTTATATACTTTTATGATTGACTACTTGCAGTAGAGAAAATACGATTTTTACTTAATAAGATAATATTTGCTTAATTGATATTTCTTAATTATGTAAATTTTTTAATTTTTCAGGCTATCCATGTAAGATTAGGAGAGAGGGGTAGCTCGAGTGTTCTTTTGATGATGATTAGAGATGAAATGATGTGTATTTTCTGTTAGCCCTTATGTTTTGATGATGTTCTTACAACCACCATTATCGGTACTAATGGCTTATTAAGTATAAATGTAGTAAATTCATTTGTCAAGCTCGTTAGTGCCATTAATGGAGGATGGATGGAATATATGCTACAACGAAGATATCCAAAGGAGGAGGAGGCCAAGAGATGAAGCAACGTTATTTCAAGAACGACAAATTCGATCAAAAGCTTCATCCGTTTCAAGCTATATCAAAGCTCAAGTATATTGCTCTCTATATGAGGATATTAGCTTTCTTTTGTTTTTCTCTCTAGTGCTAGAATGTAGGCAAAGAGTTACTGAGTTTACTTGAAGCTATTGGGAATCACACACACGTTTTTAGACTTGTGCTTTTAAGCGTTTTTTCACAAAATACTATTTTTCACAAGTATGAGTACCTATCTGCAAAATTCTTTTTCCAAGCAGTTTGTTTTTAGTATTAAAAACATTTTACAAAGTTTCAGAATTTTCAGAGGTCAAATAAATATTTTGTAAATATTTCAAGTTGGTCAAAAATCAGATTTCAGAAAGTATCAGAAATCGGTCGACCGGTCCGGTCGACCGATCCTATGACCTTTCATCAGTATTTTTCCAGAGAGTCGTCGGTCGACCAGTACGGTCGACCGAAATTTCGATCTTTAAATCGGTCGACCGCGCCGGTCGACCGATGAGTCTCTGCGGTCGACCGGTACGGTCGACCGAATTTTCAATCTTTAATCAGTCGACCGTGCCGGTCGACCGATGAGGCTCTGCTTGTTTTTCCAAATTTCCTTAGCTGCTCGCGGTCGACCGAATTTTTCGGTCGGTTGACCGAAGGACCTTTTCGGTCGACCGAAGGCTTTTTCCGGTCGACCGAAATTCTCTTCGGTCAACCGGATTTTCCCTTTGGTCAGCCGCGACTTTTTTAAACGGTCATTTACATCGAACACTGTGCTTTCACTTGTTAGTGATTGGCACAGTCTGTGATGAGGGTCTGAAGAAGAGATTATTATCTCATTTGGGAAGATTTGTTTTTGTTTTAAAATGATTTAAACTTTTCTATATAAACCCCCCAGACCTCTTCTTCTTCTTAAGCCCTATGAACGCCTTAATCTGTGGTCTTTCCCCCAATGAATACAATAGGGTTTCCACGTGTGCAACCGCATACGAAATTTGGCAAAAATTATGTGTCACACATGAAGGAACACCCCAAGTTAAGGAATCTAAGATTAGTGGACTCATGCATGATTATGAGCTATTTAAAATGCTTCCTAATGAATCCATTGATGCTATGTTTTCCCGTTTTACTAATATCATCAATGAATTACATGGTCTAGATAAGCAATTATCCATTCAAGAGATGAACTACAAGATACTTCGCTCATTGACTCCGGCATGGGAGCCCAAGGCTACGGCCATTGAGGAAGCTCATGACCTCACTATCTTAGCTCTTGATAGTCTCATCGGAAAGCTCAAAGTGCATGAGAAGAAGCTCAAGGGGAAGGAGAAGGAGGAAGTGCCATCACGAGAAGTTGAGGAGCCGTCACCAAAGTTGAAGACCATAGCTCTCAAGGGAGCTAGTGACAACTCATCTTCGTCGTCGGAGAGTGAAGTTGATTTTTCTAGAGAAGTGGCTCATCTCTCTAGAAGAATCTCTAGACTTATAAAAATGAACAAAAAATTTAACCCTCGATCTAACAACAAGTTTTCCTCTCGTGTAGGTAAATGTTTTGAGTGCAATGAACCGGGTCACATCGCTAAGGATTGCCCCAAGCTCAAAGAAAAGTACATGAAGTACAAGAAGAAGAAGGCTATGTATGCCGGATGGGAAGAATCCGAACCAAGTGACTCGGATAGTGATGAAGAAGGAGCCAAACTTGCTCTTCATGACCCAAATGTTTGTTTCATGGCAAATGAACATGAGGTAATATCCGAGGCCGAAAGTGAATCTTTTTATATGCAATGTGACATAGCTATGGCTTTAGAAGAGTTGAACTTTGAATTTAAAAGAATGTCTAAAGAATACTCTTCTTTCAAAAAATTGCATGCCTCTTGTGATATTAAGCTAGAACAACTAACAACCTCTCTTGCTCTAAAAGATGAATTGCTTGGAGATCTCGATTTTGAGAACAAGCAATTAAGATCAAAGATTGAAAGACTAGAAATTGAGGGTTGTAGGACTAGACCCACTCATGCTTATGCCAACTACAATCACCATGGTAGAAATAGGTTTCATGGTTCTAACATTCGTACATACAAAAGAAATTTTGTATGCACCTATTGTATGAGACATGGACACATTTCTACTCATTGTAGAATTAAAGACAATGAAGATTTTTATGGTTTGATATGGGTACCCAAAGGTACCAAAACTACTAACCACCAAGGACCCAAGACATGGGTACCTAAAGCTACTACACCTTCATCTTCTTCTTTTGTAGGGAACGTCACGGCAACGACGTAAGGAGATGTGGTACCTTGATAGTGGTTGCTCACATCATATGACGGGCAACAAAGAGTTATTTGCAACCCTATCAAGGATTGAAGGAGGCAATGTCTCCTTCGGTGGTGGTGAGAAAGGTAAAATCATTGGTATCGGTTCTATTGGTAAGAAACCCTCACCCATTATTGAAGATGTTTATTTAGTAAATGGCTTGAATCATAATCTTCTTAGCATTAGCCAATTAAGTGATAAAGGTTTTGATATTTCTTTTAAACCGGATAAATGCATCATTAGTATGGATGGAAAAATTGTTTTTATTGCAAATCGCAAGTCTAATGTTTACATTTTTGAGATGAATGAGTTAGTGAATCAAGATGTGAAGTGTCTTGCGGCAATTGATGAAAATCCTTGGATTTGGCACAAGAGACTTGGACATGCAAATATGGAGTTAATATCAAAATTGTCTAAGAAGAATCTTGTGAAAGGGCTACCTAGCTTGCACTTCATAAAAGATACAATTTGTGAGGATTGTGCCAAAGGTAAACAAACAAAGTCTTCTTTCAAATCCATCCATGAGGTATCGACTTCTAAACCCTTGCAATTACTTCATCTTGATTTATTTGGTCCTATGCGTGTTACCTCTCTTGGAGGCAAACACTATGTTTTTGTGATTATTGATGATTTTTCTCGTTTTACATGGACAATATTTCTTGCTAAGAAAAATGATTGTTTTGAAGAATTTGCTAATCATGTTAAAAGAATTGAAAATGAAAAGGATTTGAAAGTTGTTAAAATAAGAAGTGATCATGGTGGTGAATTTCAAAATGAATTTTTCTATGATTTTTGTGCTCATCATGGTATAACTCATATGTTTTCCGCTCCTAGAACACCACAACAAAATGGTGTTGTTGAACGGAAAAATCGTACCATACAAGAGATGGCACGCACTATGTTAAACTCATTTGATTTACCAAAATATTTTTGGGCGGAAGCCGTCAATACGGCTTGCCCTGTTTTAAATCGTGTTTTGATTAGACCAAAGCTTAAGAAAACTCCTTATGAACTTTATTATGGAAAAACTCCTTTCAT